ATAACTCTACTGAGAATAATTCTACTGAGAATAACTCTACTGAAAATAACTCTACTGAGAATAATTCTACTGAAAATAACTCTACCGAGAATAATTCTACTGAAAATAATCCTGTACAAACTTCTCAACATTCAGTTGCAAACTCTCTTAATCAACCCATGGAGGTTGACTCTACAGTGACTCCTGGAGATACAGTGGACTCTACAACCAAAGGCGATGGACACAGCTCGCAAATATCAGATATCGAAAATGTGCTTGTTAATCCATCTAATGCATTGCGTTCAGTGATATCAGAGGAAGCTGTGAGTGTGTCTGAACCTAAACTTCCTTCTGTTGAAATTAACAGTTCACCAAAAACTAGTCCGACTGTTCCCAATCAGGATTTAACTGTGTCTGAATCTGCTACCCCTGTAGAAAAAGCTGATAGTGTGGACCAACCATTAGTTGATAGTAGTAATAAAGTTGAACCTGTGGATGAAGATTCCCAGTCTAATACAGTCTCTTCATCAGACACTGCCCCCACAAGTATAGTACCAAAAACAAATGTTCCCCATATTATTCCATTTTTTGAACGCCAGAAACTGGAGGCAGAAAATGATAATGCCCAACCATTTGTATCTCCTGACACAAGTACTCGAACTCAGTTACCCCTTCCAGAAGTTATCAGTAATGAAGATGAAGATTCCAGTACTATGGATTCTAATGTGGAAGAATCTGAAGATTATGTTGAACCTACGGTAAAATTTGTCAATACTAATGTTTTTCTGATGGAATGAAGGAACAAAGCTCATGTTTCAGACTGCATGTTCATGTTCTCTCTTAATTACAATTCTAAAAAGATAAGAATAGTTTCTGACTAAAAATTTTTTAACTTTTCAAAACTCTGTGCTGTACAATTTGTTTATGAAATGATCATATAAAGCATATTTTCTAATCTAAACTTTCAGTTCCAAGTTCATATTTTCTATAAATCATACAAGTGTTTATACTTTATTTCAGGAACATCGTGATTTAAATGCAAGAATAGCTGAAATAATGGAAGGTTCTTCTAAAACCAGTTCTAAAAAGGATAGCCCAGGATATTCTAAAGAAATCTCCCCAGTTAAAGCAGTAGGAAATAAAGAAAAGGGAGGGAGTAATAAAGGAACAACAGGAAGTAATAAAGGAACAACAGGAAGTAATAAAGGAACTGGAGATAGTGATGAAGAGGATGATACTATTATGGATGATGATGAATTACATAGTTTACTTGGTGTATAAATGAGAACCCAACTAGTGTAGATGTTTCATATCAAATGGAAAGTACTGAATGTGATGTGAGTTGACAAATGGCAGAAAGCAATCGCTAGGTTGCAAACTATAGTAATGATGTGACCATAGAAAATAGGTCCTAACATATTGACCAACTTTTGATTGTAATGATAGAATAATTTATTGATTGTGTTTTCTATCATCTACAGAGTCGAACATGATTTTGGCTTCTGCAAATCCTGTCCTTGAGTTGACATAACGCAGACACCGTTTTCTTGTATCAGTGTGTTGTCTATGTCCCAGTTGATCATGATATATGCAGTATATATTTATATACACGACATTGGTGGTCTATTTTGAATGATAGAGACTAATAAATATTAATAAATTTACAATTTAAATGTCTGTCATGAAAGAATAACATGCTTATATGATTTCTCTTCAAAGGTGAAATAAGACTGTACATTAATTTGCATTTAGTTACATTTGCAAAAAAAATAAATCATTCTTATTTATGAGTGCTTGATTTTGTTGATAGATCAATCACATCTCCACAAAACATACAAGATAATACAAACTCAATAATTAAATGGTTTGCCAAGTGTTATCTGGTCATAAAAGACAATGACAATGTGTATATATATGAGCCTGTGTAATGTTTGGTAGTGTAAATAGAATATTTTAGTGTCAGTGATGTTTTAGTAATTCACCAATAAAGAAAGACTTTTTCTATGATCTATCTTGTCTAGATGTCCAAGATTTATTTGACAATGAGTTCTAGTTAATGTTATTGTGTAGTGTGAGAATAGAATTATTGAACCAATTTAGTCCAGTAAACTTGTAAGCCTTTCAAATTGTAACCACTTTAATACAATTATATAACATTCATTATCCGTGGGCAGATATGTAGTTATTTGCTTGAAAACATAGAGGAACAAAAGCGTCTTCAAAAGTGTTGGCGTGTTCCTGTGTTTTCAGCAAACATGGTATCAAGTGAAAGGCGGCAATGATATTGATCAAGTTACTTACTTTGTTGGAATATGATAGCTAGCAAGAGGTGGCAGCAATCTATAATATGATATAAAAGTCAACTCAAAACTGAATATTACATAACCGATATCCAATGCCTCAGAGATAGATCTAGAAACTGTCTTGTCTTAGTGTGTTAACAGACAATAATTGTTATATAAACATTGATATTTATTACTAATTTGTCAATTGGATTTTATAAGGAATATCTGATTTTTCTGTGTCGTTTGAATGATCATTTGTGTGCACCTTTTTTATACCCATAGATCAATTTGGAAATATATTAAAGTGAGCAGTTAAGTTTCTACATCCATCGTCGAAATCAATCAACAGGTCATTATGTGTGAATGTGTCATGTCATGATGAACGATGTAAATCAAATTTATAATTTATTCCAAACACTCTTCAATTAAGTTCTATATTGCACCATCTCATTATGTCAAAACGAATCTAACCAATCAAATCGTTAATGAGGTCTGACCTCGTGTGAAAAAGTGATTTTACGTCAAATATGTCTGTTATTTGCAATGCACATCGAAATGTAATGTATTTTATTTGAGGAGGACAGAATGATTTTGATTGATGTAATAGTTGAATCAGGAGTAATCATTGGAAAATATATGTAACCAATTATGACAAAAAAAAGATAAATTTTGAAATGATTTGGCACTAACAAATGTTAGTCTTGCAAAAATTAATTTTTTCTCACATAAGTCTAGTGTGGTATTAACATGGTGCAGATAAGTAGGTTGTAAAACTACATTTCATTTCATTTTGTGTGGTATCAGGAATTGTTTTGGCACCATTTAGCATAGAGCACATGTCATAGCTGTTGTTTAGTACAGTAATACCGCTGTCAGTTACTCCTACTTTAGAAGTTATTAATGTAATAAAAATGCTTGTTGACATAAACTTGGAGTGCTACCATAGTACAGAAGATCATTTAGAAAAACCCATGTCTACCAAAATAGTATTAGGCCTGAACCAATTTTATTATTCCAATGTACATTGTTACTTTTATATACAGGAATAAAAATATTGGACAAGTCTAATTATATTTGGTATATTTTTAAATGTAACTGTAAATCATGACATTGTAATTATTATTATTATTTCAACTGATGTGTTGATAATGTTTATATTTTCAACAATGATGAAATAAAGTTGCTACAAAAAACAGCACAGCTTTCCATCAATAATGCAAAACTGTCCCCTACTTCTTCTTTAAAGGTATAGTACCTCTATTTTTAAACTTGGCAAAAAGAGTCTCAGTGTCCCATTGTAAGAGGAAGTATTCCTTCAAAACAAACATAAGTACACACTTTTCATTATTATTTCGTTTAAACGAATTAATTTTATCGTTTATTTCGTTTAAACAAAATAATAAACCCATCTTTTTATTTCGTTTAAACGAAATAATAAATAAATATGTTTACAATTGCGCCTTAGGGGCTCCGTACATAAGGACACACAGGCTGAAATACTTCATTTTCCAATAGAGCTCACATTGTGTATTACTACTTTGTTATGATGTGACAATCAGTTAAGGCATATATTATTGGGCTTGAATGGTATCTACCATAGTCATGTATTAAGTTCTGGGATTGCAGGAACAAATGGCACAATTGATAGCTTATGATGCACTGAAGTAGAACAGAGACCCCTCTTGAATCCCCTTGATAATGGTTATGAGAGATGCAGTGACTTCAACACATACTCGCTAACACGAATATACAGCACAGGATGATAGAGAATTTTAACCCAGTTGCACACTGCATTAAAGGTGTTGCCTGTCATCATTAGCCCATTAAGGTACAAACAATTAATAAATTCATAGTGCTTTTGAAAGGTTTATGACATGAATGAAGAAAGCAAATATCTACAGCTGTTCAAATTAAATCTCCCAACTTTGTGACAAATAACAAAACGTCAGGATCGATGAATATAATAAACAAGTATTATTCTTAATATAAACTAAATATCACAATTGCACCTCTAAATGTCAAGATATTTTAGTTATCTTTATAAATAGGCATAACACGAAATGTAACATTTGCCTGGTGATCCATAAACCCAGCATCTGGATTTCTTAATGTCTTCCAATCAATAATTTTCGGCCATTGCAAGAAGTGCATCATATTATTCTCTGAGCCAACAGGCTGATTCAAACGGGTCATTAATGTTTTGTTCATATGAGAATTGACAAGTTCTAAAATAAATGAACATGGTGGAATGGCCACCATTGCATAAGGGTAATTGTTACTAGATTTTGGTTCACGATTTGTGCTTAAAGTAGCATTACAAACATTTGATTTATTATTAATACTTAAACTACAACGTACTTTATTTCTGATGAGAAATTCTTGGCTAGATACACCCCATTCATTTCTTTCCACATCATTTAAATTAAAGGTTGTTTGGAATTCAGAAATATTGCGGAATTCAAGTCTTCCTAATAAATTATGATTTATGGTTTCAGCACTAATACAACCTGGTTTGAATGTAACTTTCTGTTGCTCTGGAACAACATAATCAGTCTCATTTATGTCTACAACTTGTTGACGTAACTTAGGTAAAACACTCACTATTCGCACTGCTGAATCCGTCTTCAAGACTTTGGTTGCATTTTCTAAACTAAATTCCAATTCTTCTTTGAATGATTGAAATTCTTTGGCCAGTTTATTCAACGTTGCATCATTTTTTGAATTGGTTTTGACAATATCAGTTTTCAGGATTTCACCCTTTTTCTTCAATTCTTGACACATTTTAGCAATGTGGTCGTCAATTTTATCACATGTTGCGTGAGTAGATATCTGTAAAGTTGATATGCTAAATACCAATGAATTTAGATATTCTTCAATATTTCCTTTTGTGTAAGTTATTTGGTACTTCAAATCTTCAACTTCCTTTATAGCATCTGCTTTAACTCCTTCATCAATTTCTTGGATTTTATGACCATTATGGACAGTAGCTGAACATTTGTAGCAGACACTTATCCAACAATCCCGACAAAAAAACTCCAACAAATCTTTGGGATGTTTAGGACAAAATATCTTTTCTTCTCTTTTCAATGAGTCCCCAGGTGATTCTTCAAACAATTCAAGATCCTCAAGGCTTAATACTACATGATTAAAGCAGCCAGAAAAAGAATCATGAGTAGTTTTGCAGTCACCACACATAAATTGTTGACATTCTTTGCATTTAAATCTAGCAGAAGGAGTAAGCTCATGGTCTCCAATAGCCTGTCTTCCAAAGCATACATCACATTTAAGAATGTCTAATCCATCTATCTTTTTGTCAATGACATTTGGGCTAGCACTAGGTTCTTTCAGGGTATCTTCTAAGTAAAAATTTGAAGAAAATGCACTGACACCACCTTCAGGAACTTGTATGTCACGTCGACACATGGGACACGGAAAGCGGTTGTTCAGAGAAAAATTTCTGATGTGATCTGACAAACATTTTTCGCAAAATGTATGATGACAGTCGATTAGTTTTGGCTTCGTGAAATCTTCGAGGCATATGCTACATGAAAATCTACTTGCCATTATCTGATGTTGCTCTTAATCTTAACTTCTGAAAAATATCAGATTTTTCTAAGAAATTGACGCCATATTATGATTACACACCTCATCACGTGATAGTCACATGATAAGCATGCGGCAAGACATATTCGCCACGCATGGCACTTGTATGCTTTTTGCCACGCCTGGTCTATTTTTGTTTGAAAAAAATCTTTAGAGTAAATATTGTGACTTACATGTACATTAAATCATTGTTTTACCTTTTCGCATCACTTTGTATGATAAGTCTATCATCATAACTTCCACTAGGCCATCCACACAAATTCAGTGAGTGTGAGGGATGCGAAATTTGCTTTTTATGAGCTTCTGTCCGAAATTGTGCTTGTACGATTTAAACCATGTATTGTTCTCATCTCCAATTTGTGAATCGTTACTTAGTTTTCGTTGAACATCTCAATATAGTTATGTATTGAAATTGCTTAAACAGTTAAAAATGTTGACACGGTTAGGCCTATACAATGGTGTAACCTATTTTGGTGGATATAAGGATTCAACACCGAATTTCCTCAAAGTTAAAGAAACGAACAAAAAATTTATGTCTTAGATGTTTTCTCAGATATTCTACAAAATAATTAAAATTGGTTTGTTTCAATTTTCTTTATGAATCCTTCACTTTGACCCATATTTCGTGAGCAACCAACTCGGCAACGGCAGCAGAATGCGTCACCTATTTTCGTATACAATGTTTGATCTATAAAAAAAAGTCTAGAAAAACACGTTGTAAGGATACCGGGTAGTATAATTAACTTCTCTTAGTATTTATCTTTAATATCAATTCATTATAACTAGTGACAATTCCTTCAAAGAACCACAAATTAAAAAAAAAAATAGCGACTGACAAAATAAGATACTAGCGTGATTTATTGCTAAAAGTTACTGAAACAACATAAGAATATGGCCCACTTGTGTTTCATAGAAATTTTCTGCTGACGCGGAATCGGATAGTTGATCACGTGACTTCATTCGTTGGAATATATTCTAGCAGGCGACAGTTGCAATTCCTACCTACCTACCTACCTACCTAGTTGCAATTCCGATTACCGCTTGGGATTATAAGGAAATTCGACAGATAAAAAATGGTGACGTTTGGTAATAACTGAAATCCGCCATTTTGTTTTTGTCAAAGTAAACATTAATACATTTTACCTTGCTTGAAACTACTGGATTCATTCTACAAGCTGATATTGTAGAGAAAACCCGTGTTTATCAAAACAAACTTATGCGGAGGTCGCACAAGGTCGCTCATGTAAATTATTAATCATTTCCGGAAATCCACGAATAATAGGTTTCCACGAATTTAGGTTACTTGACTGTATATCTATTATGGGTCTTCAAACATTGTATGAAAGTAACAATGGCCATTTCTGGCTTGGACACAGAGTCCAATAAACACAAAATCCTATCCTATTAATTCAAAAAATATTTGGTTTACCGGCAGATAAATCTCAATCTCAAAAGATTTCAAAGGATATCCATATATTGTCGAAAAACCACAATCGGAATTTTCAATTGCAATTGACGACTTCAAGTAATGAGTCTAATACTTGTCCTGGATGTCCTCAAGAAATGATTATAGGCTATATTCTGTAAGTCTTCAAGTAGTGAGTCCAGCATAATGAGTTTGGAATTGTGTTTTTTTCTTTACAATTTGCCATTATATAAGTTTATCTCAATCAAACTTGGTGTGATCTAAAAGTTTATGTACATTTAATAAGTATGTAAAATATTTCGAGATCAAAAAGTTGATGTAAATATAATAAGTATGTAAAATATTTCAATATCTAAAAGTTGATGTAAATATAATAAGTATGTAAAATATTTCAATATCTAAAAGTTGATGTAAATATAATAAGTATGTAAAATATGCTGAGATCAAAAAGTTGATGGTTCAATATTTCCTCAGCTTATATAATTACAGTTACACCATAATGAGTTTAGAATAGCGTTTTCCTTACGATTTGGAAGGACTATCAAATGGTTGGTGGCATAATATTACAACAAATACACAAGTCACTCATTTTTTCCAACAGCAGATCATCAAGTTTGATGGCTTATTTTTTCCAGTCAACTATACCAATCTTAAAAATTCACTCATTTTTTCTCCAACAACATAAGCCAATACCTAACACACCAAAATATCAGATAAATAAATGACATTTTCAAATTTATCAGCAAGGAAGAAAATTTTCTGTTATATTGCTGACATGATAGATAGAAGTAAACCCTGGGATGTCTGTGGTCACAATGAAAATAAAATACAGGTGTAGAAAGGACTGTACCCATTACTGATATCAGCTCACCCAAAAGCTGTTAATTCAACCCTAATTCCCAACTTAAAAATTTCTTTATATCTCTGAACAAAATTCATCCTTAATTAAGGAATTAAATGTACACAATGGTTGATCAGAACAAATATACTTCTTTATATCACTGAATACATTTCATCCTAAACCAAACATTTTTAGATGCTACAATAATTAATCAATTCAATTCGAAACGAACAGATGGTTTTTGTGTTTAAATTACACCTTCATAAAACAATTCTCAACATAATTTCACTTAAAGAAAATTGAAATGATATATTCAATCAAACATATTTATTAGGTCAATATACATTTTGTTATAAAAGGAACACTGCCATTCAAAATGAAAGCTTTCATTTTCTCTTAGAGGTAAGACAGTCATTGTGCGGATTTGTGCGAGTTTGCTCACTTATATAACAGACCATGCTTACTCTTTTCGAAACACCTGATACTACTTTTGCTCTCGATTTTGCCATACTTTTGACGAGATTTTAATTAACAGAATTGTTTTGCTTGTGCTGATTTTTATTGCTTACTTAGCTCTGAGAGCCTATAAAATCCTGTTATTGGAAGTAAATGTAAATGATTTTATTTCTGAAGCACGAGGTGAACTCTCATACCAACTGCTGGGCTTCCACTTGAAGAGTTTTGTCTGTGAGTCTTTGTCTGTGTCATTTTATTTCCAGGTAATCTCAGAGATTTTCAAGTGCCCTTCCACCTGAAAGACAAATCACATTAAAGAGCTGCTCGCGGGAATGGGATGGCACCTCATCTTGCCATCTTCTAACGGGCTAATGTTGATACCTGACATTTTATAGAAAATAGCTCTAGGCAGGTTTATCAAGAGTTGGATGCGACTGTCCAACTGTCAGATTCAGCAGTAGTAATAGTAATTAGAAAAACAATGTAATAACATTTTAATAAAAAAATTATGGCAATAAAATTAATGTAACAGAATAATATATTATTATTTCTCTCCATATTATTTACAATTGATTATGATAATTTAGAATCACAGGTTGAAAATGCACACTTTCTATTTCTAAATTTGGATACAAAACTTTTACACTTAAAAGAAATCTTTAATCCACTTCTAAGATCTAATTCTTTCCTTGAGTCCAGCCACAAGAAAAGAAAATTATAACAACTGCTTTTGATACTGGAATGCACTTGGAGCATCCATCTCAGTGTAAAATACATTGTTATTATTTTAATTATTACAAACATTATGAAATACACTTGTGTTTTACAGAATCTGGCAACCAATTTTTACCATTACTTTTGGCTTAATGTGATCCAATTACAGTTCTTAATATAAATGTATAACAAATCCTTTTAAAATGGAAACAATCGAAACAAATCATTATGTGGATCTTGAGGTATCAAATACAAAATTACCATCCAAAAACTTATGAATAATTCTAAGTCATGACCTGTTTTTATAATAAAATCAGCCATTGACAGTATCACTGACATACGTGGTAGAACTCAAGTGTTCATGTTGATAAAAAACTAATCATTTATTCTAAACTAAAAGACATCATCATTTCAATTTTACATATTCAGACCATTGTGTTACAAACGCTTTAGCTTTAGTGGAACTGCAAGAACCGCAGATGTCTAACTAATATTTTTAGTGTCCCTGATACATGAAAAAATATAGTAAACCTATTTCATGCCTACTCCGTTACGGCAACAAGCCAGTAGTCTCCACAAAAAGAGTAATTCCCTTCTGTGCTACTAACATCAGTAATAAATTTGACCAATCATTGTACAGTTAAAAGTATAAGATTGTTGGAATTAGGGAAAGATATCAAAATTTCATACAACTTTTGAAAAAAACCAACACAAGGTATCACAACAGAAAGATATGACACTGGCCACTTATGGTTAAGCTTATAACAAAACATTTAATAAGCTTGCCACGAATACTTAAGGGAAATATAGCATGGAAATTCAATGCACATTATTATTTCCAATTTGTGGCTCCTCCCTATAATATAATGGTATAGCACCAAAGTTTTCTCCAGGTACTGGTTGCTGGAATGCAGGTTGGTGGTTTGGCTGTGGAGGTTGCTCAGGTTGACCATTTTCTTTTGTAGTATCATCAGTAGGATATATATTTTTATGACACAATGGACATGTATCCTGAACATATAACCATTTCCGTAAACAAACACTATGAAAAAAATGTTTACACCGTGTAATGCTTGCACTTTGTAAATCTTGGTAACAAATGGAACAAACATCATTATGTTGTTCTAGTTGTTCTTTTGTAGCTGTTGGAAGCAAGTTAATTTTATTAACTGCTGTGCGTCTTCTAAGAAAAACTTTCCAACCTTCTTTAGCTTGCAACCATATGTTAAAATAGGCATGAATTGTCATCATGATTGCTCGAATGGCACCACCTGATTCGAACAGCATGATCCAAGCACCATTACAAAACAAAAAGATTCCAAAAAAGAATTCCATAGTATTTCCAGTAGACTGCACATAATAGACATAATCATCAAGTTTCTCCCAGAACACTTGTCGGTAAGAGTCAATCATAAATAAAGCATAAACTAACAAAGAAAATATCACTTTCAGAATCACTTCGATACAAAAAGCTGTCACTGCTAAGAGCCAAGTATTCAATGTATGGTAGGACCACAAATAAATTAACAAGCAAACCGGGAAAGATACTAGATACACACACATTCCTAAAGCTCTAAGATGCTTAGATGTTACAGAACTTGAAGAGGCACTCAATGCCAAGAGTTGAGTATTCACCATTCCATGCACGAAATGTAATACTGAAGTTGATAACAGGCAAAAATTACGATAAAGTCGGATCAAACGTTCTTCTGGGTTTAATCCTGTCAACCCAGTTTGTAAAGCTAGAACAAAAAACAAAATGGCTGACACAGTTCCAATCATTTTATCTTCTTCAGAATCTGCTCCTAAACAAATTGACATGAACTGTCCAATGTAATACATAATAAGGGATACCATACTTGTAAATCCCATTAAAGCTACAATATTACTACAGCTCTCTATTAATAAAACTTTTAATAGTTCCACAGAGAATTCTAAAGTCTGATAGTTTTCTTCATTCCGACCTTCGTTCGATTTCCAAGATGAATATAAAATATAGGCTATGTTATATAAAAGACGCACCACAAAGAAAAGACGCAACACTTTAGGTATATGTAACCTTTCCCAATGTGCTGAAAGAAAGTCACTGATGCCCCTCTGGTCTAAAATCACCCATGCATCAATCAAACTTTTGTAAATTCTTTTGCACATAAAACATAGGGTTTTATAAAAATCGGTCATAATTTGTAAACTTGGCACTATCAATGCTAATAATGGTGACCATACAAGTATCAGCAGGTTTTCGTAAAATAATGTTAAAGTTACAGGCAAGGTAAGAGAAATATATATAAAACTTTGAAATACAACTTGAACTTTGTTGTTATTTTGATAAAATTTGTATGATGTTCTAGTAGTCCGTAAGAGAATAAATAATTGAGAAAGACTGATTTGCATGCTTAGGTTGAATATCACCTGATACATATTTCGAATTGAGAAATCTTTCCAGATGCTGTTAATATGGAGATCAGGATGCTTTGATTCAGTAATAAAATTAATATTACACCAGTATGATCCTAACAGAACACCTACAGATAATACATAACTGTATAATTCACGAAGTTGTTGAGCACCCAAACAAAATATTCCCAGTGCTAGGCAGAAAACTGAAATGAAAGGAAAAGAATATTAAAAGTTGATAAAACCATGCCAGGTATTTTCTCAAATCGATCAAAGTGCTAAGATATCAAAGAAACAGTGTTAAGACAAGGAAACTTCCGGTATGGATGAAAACAAACTAGACGAAAAACCCAATAATTTGGAGGATTTTATCTTCTTGACATCCTAGTGCTAAGATTGTTTTGAGAATATGAAACTATAATTAAAGTTTCAATGTTATTTCTTGACTAAAAGGTCATCAATTTACAAATATCGGTGAGAATTGCCTAATAATTCTACATAATTTGTTTGGTAGTCCTCTAGATTGCTGTGAAAAATTTCAATTTTGGCTTCTCATAGGAACTAAACCCTGCAATGTGCCTTCTTAATAAAATAAAATGAAGGAAATTAATTTTCTGGTACATACACCAAGACATAAACAGAAACCACTGAACCACATCCATCCATGTTTGCAACGAATCATAAGGATAGTAAGAACTAAACAAAGTTTTGTCCAAAATACTGTCCATAAAGAAAAGCGGTGGAACTCGTAAAGAGATATCCAAGCCTCTGGTCAGAGCAGTTTTCCATAACATTTTTGATAAAAACACATTCATTGATATAGTTGTCTACTTAAACGACATTCCAATATCCAATAAAAATTCATCTCCAATAAGAATTATTGTTAGTTTTAATTTGTAGTTTCATTCCGATGTCCGTTTTCAGGTTTGTTGACAATTTCAACTTCCGGTTGGTACGTACAAACTGTAAAGATGATAAAATAAATGAAACGAAAACTACTATTGTTGCCTGGAATATCGACAAATTTGAAGAGTTTTCTCCCTGTATATAATCTCTTACAGCGGAAGCCCATCCAATGTAAACAGATCAATCAGTGCCGAGTAGTGGAAGGCTTGTTTTTGTTTTAGGCCTACTTGGTCCTGTAGATTTAGGTGAGACAGCCGACGTTTACCCTTCAAAATCACAATCCTAAAGTCTAAATTTTATGCAAAGCGCAAGTAAGTCATAGAACACTAGGCCTATACAGTTTTATGATGTAGGCCAACTGTGACTATGTAGTAGTCCAAGAAACTCTGACCTTATCTAGGATAGGCTACAGATCAAACACTGTGCAGCTTCAAAATAAGTTCAAATAGTCTAGACTAAGTCATTTTAGTTTTATATTGAACATTTTTTCTTAATGACATAATGAACAATGAAATATGACGAAAATTCTCAAAATGTTTGCATAGGCCTAGACCGAAACAACCTGCCTCTCAATGCGGTCGGCAGACAGTCAGAAGACCACCTATGAAAATATCTTGATATGGCGCAAACAATTTGTCTGAATTACCTGAAAGTAGAGCAGGGCTGTTAATGTTATACACCGCCCCCATTTTTGGCCTAGTAGGACAACATCAGGAGTTACCTATCATATTTGGTTCAAAGATTTCCTACCTGTCGGCCAGTGTGCTTGTGATCTTTATCATTTGTCATGGCTTAGCCAATGTTTAATCTATATCTTTCAAGTACAGTACCGGTAACCTAAAATTACTGAGATCCAGACTCAATTCTCATTTAAAATTATTGTATGAACCTGGGCATCATATCTCATCGTACATTGCCTTGCCAGTTGCTGACAGCACGTTCCTATAATTTGACTCGGCATAAAAATCAAATGGTGCTCACCAAAGATCAGTCTGTGTGCAATGACCTAAAGCTGTTATGCTATAGTATAAATATAAAATAGCATAACAGTATAGTCTTATTAATTGTGATTCCTCACACACAATAACTGTGATATTATGATGGCCCAGGTATAATGACAGTAAAAATTGATTTTACGACTGATTCATACCTGATGAAAACTTGTATAATGACTCTGCTGACTATATCCAATACTTGATGATGCATAATCAAGCCTATTCAAAGTGTTATTTATTGTCTAGGATTGGAACTGAATGACTGAGTGTGAAAATGTTTTTGTTTTTCAAACTTTTTGTGAGATGGAAAATCTTTTTGCCGAATCTGTGGTAGGCCCTTTTTAAATGGTTTTAGGCCCATTCTCCATCGTTTCACCAGCAGGTAGAGTTTATTTCCACATTCAATAATACAATATTTTTCTGACTGCATGATTTTTGTGGTTCTGTGGTAGTGCTGTAGGTAGGGTAATATAGTACTTGAAGTTGAGCATTCTTGGTGTGTGAGTGAAGCTCTTTTGCGAAGCAATTTTCTATTATTTTCAGGATCTAAAAGCAGAAACAGTTATTAGATTACCGTGCTGAATTCAAAATGACTACAGATACCAAGACCAGACAAATCTTTCACATGAAGGCAGCATCAGCTGGTATGTTTCATATTTTCATTTTTTAATGCACAATCATTTTGATTGCTATACTTCATCAAATGATGTGATTCTGTAAAGATTGGAATGGAATCTTCGTTAATCTCAACAAGCCCAAGTTATTGTTTATGTGAATTGTGGAAAATAAAATCAATTAAAATCAAATTTATGTACTTATCAAAATGACTGAATGATTAAAAAAGGATTTGTATGAAAAATTTTATATGATATAAAGCATTAATAATATTATTCAGTTTATATTTCGATAAATGTGGTTATATTCACTGGGACAAATACTGCTGAAATTATTATAATTACAAACAAGCTGTGCTGGGCATGTTGAAGTCCAAAATATTTTAGAATGATGACTCAATATTATGTCAGAGTTTTTATACAGTTTCCATTAGAAACTATAGAATGGTCTTTGAAAGCTGTTATTACTTTGATGAAGTTAATGACTCAATAATATGCCGTCTGCTATTTATTCTATTGATTTCTTGGTAATTCAGGCTAAATATATATATCATGTAATGGGGAACTTGAAAACTATTCATTAACTCAATTAGAATGTGATTTATGCTTATTAAGAATATTATATTCATTATTGTTCATTGATTGATGTATATATACCCCAATTCCTTCTGTGGGGTTGATTAAATCTGAATTTTTCTTGAGCTCATGTGTCACAATGACTCAATGGAATAGAAATTGCATTCATAGCCTTGGGTACAATCTCATTGAGCTCCTAATAGAATATGCAGGTAAAAGGGACAAGCTAAACCTTCATTTGCATTTTGTTATTGTTTTGCTGTAGAGTTAACATCTGTCTCATATATATTAATCTATTCAAATTGATTCTATAAATAGATATGATGAGGTGTTACTTTGAGTTATCTTTAGGCATACATTCAAGGACACCATATCCCATTGTAAAGGCTTTTGATATGTGTACTTTTCATAGTCTTCATCATTGAAAGAGAGCCTTTAATTTTTTTGTTCACTAAGTACCCCATTTGCCGGCTGTTTACTCTGTCCAGTAAGCTTGAGATTGAATATGTCTGCTTCAATTGACAGGTGTGATAAATAACAGACGGCTTGTAGCTGCTTAAATTGAGTGATTACTCAATTTAAATTTCATTTCTACCTTCCATTGAGATCTTATCTGCATGGTGTTGTTAGTTTATTTGTTATCTATTTCTCAACCAATGTTGTCTTTTTATTTCTTGAACCCTATGGAGGTCATGGGGTCATTAAGGTGAAAGGTGAGAGGTTAGCATTGTAAGATATTGTAATAGCGTATGCTTTCATTGTTCATAATAGAGTATGTAGGCTTTTATCACACCAGCAATAACTTGGGACTGTTGGACGTGTTTGATTTTGGATTAACAGAAGATTAAAAATGTCTTTCCGATCAAATTCAAATGTGGCTTTTATTGAGGAAGGTGCCATTGTGAAATTATCTGTACCTAAAGAATCGACACCAAATAAAAAGGAGCAAACACAAACAAAGATAAGTTCAAATGAGAAGCCAGATTTTAAGGATTACAGACTACGTTTATTCAGTGAATCAGGTATAGATAAAGGTTTTTTTATGATCAATTTGTAATATGATCTAGAAAAAATGTACAGAATAAATTGATAATGATGACTTAAATTGTTTTAAAAATCAATGAAAATTCTATAAAGAATGTTCTTATTCAGCTGAGACTTTGTGCTTTGAACTGGCAATGAATGAATTTAAATGAATGAACGATCTTTTGGGTATTCAGAGACTAGAGTTACTATTCAACAGAAAGCACTGTCATAGGGTTAAGGCTAGTATGTTAAAATGGAAATTGTAGTGCTTCTAACATAGACCTATAATTAAAAAATATTATCATAATATATCATTATTATTACCGAAAATTATATGAATACTAATCTCTTTAACTGAAACTATAAATCAAAACCAGTATTCAGGTAATTACTA